TCATCACCTCATCTGCCAATGCCAAATCATTTTCACCAAATCCATTTTGATACGACTTCACAGCAGCACAGAACATGAAGATAATCCTTTGACATTTTTATCACTCAACCCATTTATTTAGTCTGCATGTCTTGTTGGCTGATAAAATCTGGCTCCCGATGCATGCCTTTCAGATTGCACATGAAAAAGGTCCCTCTCCCCCAGGGGGTGACAACATGTCAAAATAATACTCTTCTGTGTGTGCTCTGGGTGGCAGCCTAATTTAAAACTTCATCTTGTGATCCAAGCCATTTGCATATTGTACAGCGCCTTAATTTATGCATTCCTTCCCCTCTGATTTGTGTTATATCATATTATAAGCCTTAGAAAGAAATTAAATATTAGGATTTTGTGTATTGTAACTGAAGGATAGCATATTAATTTACAGTCAAACATTTTTTATGATTAAAAAATGTATTTGGTTGTAAGGATACTGCTTCAGTCTAGGTATTTCTTCTCTATAAGCCTTTTTTTCTGGTCAGTTCAGCGAAACTGGTCCAAGCCTGCATTGATACAGGCAACACTGCAGCATTTGTCAAAAGTTGAAAAGTTAGTCCTGAGTATAGAGCAGTGTAGCAACAGTCAAAAATATTGGAGTTACAATTGAAATCCAGCTTTTGTAATTGATACATCTTATAAATTACTACTAATACATATTTATGAGTTTCTGGAAAATGCCCTCAGTTTGTTATTAATTTTTGTCTGGAGGGTAGCTGTCCCAATTCAGCAAAAAATCTGTGGTTAGAAAATATAAAAATATTTCACGGCCCGTCAGAGCGCTCTGCACATTGTGAATAATGTTCAACATGACACTGTAATGCTTGTTCAGGTGAAAAACGGGTTCTTGCACTAGTTTCTGGGGCAGCAGCGGTAATAATACAGCATCTAGACTGTGCATGTGAATTATGACTCTACTTCACATTCATGTATTCATCCCATAGAGATAAATTAGGCCGCAGACATTTCAATCTAACTCCCTAAATAGAGCACTTTGTCATCACAAGTTAAAGGGGAGGTTTGCCGACTGATCAACAGAATGATTCATAACCTTATTCTAGCTCAAGGAGTGACACGTCTACACAAAGAATTAGGACAAATGTGCCTTAAGACTTACTCAGTATACAGTAAGTGCCATGCAACAACAAGAAGACAAAACACCCTTTTAATGTACAATAATTTCTCATCCTCTACAGATTGCTGTGGTTTGCACTTATGCAGCGTGCTAACACCAACCACGTGCTTTATCTTGATCAAATGTGGGGCAATAAAGTGTAGCAGCATGGTGATCATTTGTTTGAAGTGACAGAGCAGATAGGCAGTGATTTACTAACACCATAATGGGCATTTAATTGAGCCTTTCCACTCTCTCCAACATCAAAGCCTGTTAGTGTCTTGACAATATGTGTTAACTCCCTGAGCTCTGACTGACAGGCACTGCAAGAATGTCCGCATGTCTGCATTTACTGTATTAATTTTAAAGTAGAAGAGAAAATCAAGCTATTGATAATCATTTACACAATGTTCCCTGTGTATAATCTGACTTTTACTAGAATTATTTTATATAGCTGTGAAGTATTTATATAAATCATAAGTCATATAAACTATTGTAAATTTAACTACTTGAGTTTAGTCGAATCTCACTCCTTACTTAGTAATTGCTCTGTAGTGTATTATAGCAAATGAGCATGAAAACATCACAATAAAAAAATAGTTGTTTTAATGACTTAATCAATTTGGATTATATTTAGAACCCAAAGGAAAATGTGTGCCAATCATGTAACCAGTTTGATTAAGGTGCAAATATAGAAAACATCTAATTTACCACATTGCAGCTTTGCCATACATGAAAACACTAGTCAAAAGTGTGGAGTGCTGCTGTGTATTTCTGGGCAGTAGATTTGTGCTGTGTGCTGATGGACGCTCAAACTCATGTCTGCTTTTGAAATAGTGTTTGGGGTTGAAATGGATTGCTGTGACCGGACCGGTGATTATAGAGGTATATGCTTGTGGTACATTTCACTCAAAATTAGTTCACATTTTGGGTTGTAAATGATGCATAACTTCATTCCTGACATTTATGAATGAGGGCAGAGCCACGGGTTAAGTAAATATAGTCATCAAAGTGACGAGCATGGGGGCTGCACCACATCTTCTCATGCTCCCCTCCCTGGCGCAGTGTTGTCAAAGTAACTTATTGACCCAGTAGCAGTCGATGTCTGACATGAACCTTGGTCCAGTGCTCTGTAACAGCTAACTGCTTCTCCTTTGATTTTATAGGCAGCTCCAGGATTAATGTGGATCCAGTATGAGAGCAATTGACTTGTGTTTCAGCCTATTTTTCATCCTGACGTCTATGTGAATGAGTCTAAGGGGACACATTTAGCACCAAAACATCTTCACCTCACTTCATCATTGTAGGCTGGTGCTTTTTGGGTGTCTTATAGAGATCTTAAATTTGTCAGGTTGCTATGTGTGATTTTTTTTTTTTACCACTTGCTTTTTCAGTAAATGTTTTTTTTTTTTTTTATTGACTATGATCATGAATGTCGGATTCATTTTAGCCTTTTTATTTTCATGAAAGGATGACCTGCATTTTGATGCTTTCTGACTTTGGAGGCCCATGAGCCGTATTTGGATTTCACAGTAAAAATATTGTTATATTAATTCACTTTGCATATCCATTGAGAAATAGACCACATTGTGCAAGAGCCACTAGGCTTTGACGCTTGTATTCCAACTGATGTGTTATGACACCCAGCTCTTTTTATAGTTAGTATAATGTGTTTGCAGCAGAGATCCAAGGTAAATTATTGTCTTATTCTTGAGCACAGTGAAGGTGACCAGACAGTAAGCTTACATTACAGTGTAATAAACTAGATAGGCCATTTTATGCACTCCATTTTATTATTTTGTAAAAGTAGCCAGCAGGCAGTTCTAAATTTCTGGAATAAGATCTTGTACAAAAAGCCAAGTGTAGAGGAGTGTGAAAAACATCTTTGATGTCAGCTGAAATTTCACTGAACAGCACTGCACAATCTGATTGGAGCCTGGCATCCTCTGGCAGCCTGATCTCTTGGTCTCGTTCCACCCACAGGACATGCAAAATGCATCTGTGCCTGGCTATCAATCTGTGTGTGCTGAAAAATGATTGACTGAAAATGATTTAAATATTTCAGTGAGAATTGATTGTCCAGGTGGTCAGAATAAATAAATAATCAAAGTTGAAGTTGTGGTATGTGTAAAGTGAGTTCCAAACAGGCCCTGAAGAGATTTGTGCTTGTATAAGATGAAATATTTATGTCTATATCTTTTGTAATGTCAAAAGGGTAGAGTCATTTATGATTCAATATTTAACAAAACAGTGGTTTAATATACACAAAAGCAATGTGACTCGTGCTGTAGAGGTCATAAAATTATATGATTTTCAATCAAGAGGTCCACAGCCAATCCTCTCATTAAAAGTGTGTGGCTGGGAGCAGAGCTCAATGGCAATGAGATCAAAGTTTGTACTGTTTATATCCCTGAAATTAAGAATGTATAATTTACATAAGTAATAATTTTCTTTTTTTAATAAGCTAAAATAAAAGATCTGGATCAATCAATCATTTTTTTTCATATTGTATCACCCAGCCCCAAGTATTTAAAGGGATGAGATGCTTTTGAACAGAAAGAAATCAGTGTTAGACATGCTCACTATACATCCAGTAATACACTGCAGTCTTTAGCCCACAGGTTACAGGATTAGAAATTATTTCACTGCCTGTTAAGGCTGTGTAGAATTCGCACAATCAAAGTCATTCGGACTACTATTCTGGGCATCTTCTAATGGTTCTTGTCAAGTGTAATTTTTAAGTACTTTAACCAATTCATAGTATAATTAGGTTAACAAAATTAGCTCATTCCACAGCCAGTCAGCAGGCGGCAATGCAAAAAGTTATTAACATTCTAGATTTATAGAATCATTAATTCTGGCAATCTGTCTTTATGATGTTTTCTTTTAGTGGTAAAATATATATGAATTGATAAAAGAGAAAAAGGCTTTAGTGCCATCTTTTATGTGTAATCCATAATAGTATAATGTTACTCCCATGAAGTGTAAATTACAGACAATTCCAAATATGATCATATACAAGATGTAGCCTACAATTCTGAAGGGAAGATGATTAAGGGTCATGAAAACATGAATTCATGGCTGCAGTTCAGAGTGACAGAATGATTTAAAGGTGTAAAATGTGAACTTTAGATGACATCCACTAATCATTCAAAAAGATGCAGTCTGTCGGGTTCACACATCTCTCAGATATTTTTATGACTCTTTCAGCTGTTGTGGAAATCTTGAGCAGTCAGTCTAATCAAATGGTTCTTAAACCAGGCCGTCAAACCCAATTATTCCAAAAGACCTACTTATACATTAGTCCTGCAATATGATTTATACTTTGCAGCTACTCATTTTCATGTCCTTGTCTAGTCATAGTGGTAAACCTCTTGGAAAAACAAATGAGGTGACGCTTGGCATAAAATTTGAGGAACACTGTACTAAACACCTTAGCTGCTGCTGCAAATAGGCATTTTGTAATCAGATGTTTAAAAAGCAATGCAATCAATGAAATCTGTTGTTTGTGAGGAATGGCTTGCTATGTGTTATCTGTAATAAACATGTAATAATATGGGAGGAGATCACACACAACATGCCATTACATATATTTGATACGTATCAATTTATTTGGGCTACTCACATAACCAAAGGGGCTGAAAATATTGTGCAGTACAATTTCTACATTACCATGAGCCTATGCTACATAAAGCCTACATACATCGTTGATCTTATTCACCAACTTGATGTGGCCACGCCCCATGGGTGTAGCCTGCACACGTTTTGGTGATGCACCCACGCCGCGCGCACACGGCGGCTACATCGCTTTGAAGCTCGTCTGTTGTGATCAGTGAGCTGCAGACTCCGGAGTGGGGACAGCCGGGGATTTGTGGAGAGCCCGTGGAAACTATCAAGTGCGCTTTTGTCTTTTTTCTCTTTGATCAGCATAAACGACGAAGCAGCCTCCTAATGCCGTGGAACTATTTTGGATGTTTACTCTAACAGGGACTAAAAATGCTTCTGACCAAATAGGTTCGGACTAAAATCTCTATTCGGCCCCTTGGGACGCATGAGGACCTGGACTTATATTTGTTTCACATTACAGGATTATTACAGGTTTGTCCGGTTAAATGCAGAAGGTGTACACTTGATATTAACCAATTTGGACTGTCACACCAAATAAAAGAGTACGGACTTTCTCAAATGAAAGATTTCTCTACCGTGACAGCTGCGGATCGGATAAGTGAGCGGAGCGAGATTCCAGAGTCCCCTCATGGAATAAACTCTAGTCCGGGAGCTGTAGCATTTTTGTTGACCCCCTCAGATCCAGCTCGCCAAGCGAAGCGACTTCCCATTCGAGTTCTCAAAATGTTGACTGCGCACACTGGCCACTTGCTGCACCCGGAATATTTACAACCACTTACGTCTGCGCCCGTGAGCATCGAGGTATTTCAGAGCATTACTACTTTAGAAGAGTTGGCTATTTAAGTTGTGACAATAACTACATATTCTTTTTACAAGGTGTTAACAGCGTGTTATTCACTTTATTAATTGTTGAAATTATGAGGTCATAAAAATAATTTATTTCATAATTATTTGGTCCACAAAAACAGTTTGCCATGACATAGGGCCTAAATCAAATGTAATTAATTTTGAGACTTGTTCATAATTAATTTTGTGGTTAATCTGATTTTACTGTGTTTTGTAGCTGGATGCCAAGAAGAGTCCATTAGCCCTTCTTGCACAGACATGTTCTCAGATTGGAAAGTCAGATGCTCCATCATCTAAGATGGGCTCCTCCTGCAGCCAGGGCGACAAGGAGTCCAGTAGCCGCTCATCCATTTCCAGCTTAAAGTTGAGTGAGCATCGGCCCTCACTGGAGGATAAATCCAGCTTCAAGCCCTATAACAAAGGCAGCGGGGAAAGCCGGAGGGACAGCAGCACTGCCCCCAATGGCACCTCAGACAAAGTGGGTTTTCGGGTCCCTAGCACTAATGCTAGTACTAACATGAACTCATCCAGCAGCCAGCCATCATACTCGGCCCACCCCCAGTCTCCTGCCTCCAGGCTGAGCAGCAGCACCTCTCCAGGACAGACTCAGCAAACAACTCACAAAAGTAGCCAGTCTCCCAGTGGACAGCAGCCCCCTCTCCACACCCAAAGCCACAGTGGAGACAGTGCACCTGAACAGGGCAGCCCCACCAGCACTAGCACCAATGCTTTCCCTAAAAAAGACAATGAAGGAAGTAGAACCACTGCAGACAGCCCACACCTTGCAAACTCCAGCCAAGTCCGTGCCAGTACGAACAGCAGCAACAGTAGTTCAGAGGGCCCCTCCAACCCTGATGGAGGCAAAACAGAGGCAGCTCAGTCAACCGTGGGGCCTGGACATATCAGACCAATCTCTCCATACAAGAGCCAGCCTATTTTCCCTCTGTCTGGGTCCAACATGGGATACCATGGATCAGTTGTGGGTGCGTATACTGGCTATCAATCCCAGTTTGGTCCTGGTCTAGACCCCAAGTCCGGCCTGAGTGTTGGGAGCATGGTTGTCCCGGGAAAACACCCAAACTCCAGCCCTCTCACTGGAGCCTCACCCCCTTCCTTTATGCAGGGCTTGTGCAGGGACCCGTATTGTCTCAGTTATCCTGGAATGTCCCATCTTGGAGGAAGCAACTGCAACCCTTGCATTCATGACCCCTCATCCACTTTAAAGTCCACTTTTCCACTGGTGTACCCCTCACACCCTCTGCACTCTCTCCACCCCAGCTCTCTGTCATCCACATCTTCCCTGTCTCACCCCCTGTACTCCTACAGCTTTATGCTCTCAAACGACCCCCTGCCTCATGCGTGTAACTGGGTTTCTGCCGGTGGACCGTGTGACAAGCGCTTTGCTACATCAGAAGAGCTGCTGTCTCATTTACGCACACACACAGCTCTTCCTGTGGGGGTGGACAGTAAACTCCTCTCTGCTTCCTCCTCTGGACCAGCCTCCTGTCACCTACACCTCCCACACCAAAGCAGCTCGGGCTCCATGGCCAGCTCTCTGTCTCTGAGGGCCCCACCCAGTCTGGGTCTGTCCCGGTACCACCCCTACAGTAAAGTCCACCTTCCCCCTGGACCTCCATCACTCTCACTGCACTCACTGCCCACCACCGGACCTTACTACCCGCCCTATGCTCTCTATGGACAGAGACTTGGATCTGCTTCATCCCTGGGATACCAGTGATGCCCGCTCTATGTGGTTGTGTGTACAACAGAAACTTTGAAACACTTGCTTTCTTTGTTCAGGCCGAAGGCTACTTCTAACATTGAACACAAATCCTGCCTGTCAGCGCATTTCTCAATAATGAGCTGTGACTGTCCCTCTGGCAATGATGAATATAATGGCTCTAGGTAATAAAGGTTCATACAAGTAAATAGCAACTACAGTAAAGAAATGAAGTATGTCAATAATGGGGAGAGTTTTGGTTATGTGCTGCCATAGGTCAGTTCACTTCTACAATAAGGCTTGCATGTACACCCGCAGCATTAGAGACCCTGCTTTGATTTGCAATAGCTAATTTTCAGTTATTTTCTACAGAAATCCTGTATTTATTTTCCATACAACCTGACACTCTGTTTACTATTTACTCTGTTCTGGATTTACGAAAAGCCAGTTACATTGTGTTTTGAAACACATTTCTGAATGTCCTAATCAGATCTCTGACTACATTTAGATTTTTTTTCTTTGTAAAATTTGTGACACCTCATGGTGTTAATAAGTGGGAAAATGGGGAGGGGGGTCATAATTTGTTTAATAAATTTCTTTGAATTTACATCTTGTTTTATTTCATTGTTGTCAGTAGGCCATTGTTCATTAATTTACACCTTTCTAATTTACCAAGTTTAAATTGCTTCAAAAGGCAAAGTTTGTCTTGTCTTGAACCGCAGCTTGCACTTCTCCTTTCTATAGCTCAGACAGTAATTTTTAAAATAAGTTTCTGAGCAGTTCTTCTTAACTGCCTTTGGATTAATTGCATGTGGCTGAGGCTGTATAGAAATGTCAGATCTGTCAAGATGCAGTTCACTGTGGATACAGATAAGCATCAGAGCCAAAGAGCCGTATGTGTTCAAGATGGCTCCCCCGACAGTCACTCAAGTTACCCAGGCGACAGTGTGATTGACAGCAGTAATATGTCGTTTCCGAGCAACATGACACTCTGACACTCTTGGCAAAGTATGGATGACCCACACTGGTCACTCATGTCTCTTACTGGAGGAGGCTTACAGGGTCACAGCAGCCTAGCTCAGTAGTAACTGGAGATCATGGTACTTTTCATTAGTCTGGGCTTGGGTTATGTGGCACCTAACTCTGCAAATGTCATAGTGACACGGATGCATTTGGCTTTTAAGACAGTGTGCGTGAACGTAAAAGTAATGCACCTGGGATTGGATCATTTTAAGTGTCAAAAACTGTTATTTTGCTAGTGTCTTTGATTTTCTTTAATAACCTGTTAACAAATGTTTTATATTATCACAATTTGTATTTTAGACTATAAAATAATTCAGCCTTTTTCATGAAGATGACAAAATGTAAAATGGTATATATATTTTTCTAACATAAAAAAGTTTTTGCTGGTTTGCTTGAATAAGTCTGCCTTGTCACCTTGAGTGATTAATGATGACAGCGTGTACTGCTACTCCTTCATTACGTGACAGGCTTTTTACTTTCTTTTGACAAAATCTGCTGCAAAAGGAAAGGGAGGACCAGATTTATTGTGTATTTGTTTTCCTCATATATAGATATTTATATGCATTACACTTGTGCATGCCTTGATGCTGAATTGCCTGTGAGTCAGATCACACAATCATTCCCAGAAACTGCTTTCATTTGTCTCCCTTCCAACTTTATCACTTCATCGATCATCCTACCATGAGAGCTTTTCAAGTGGTCCAGAAATAAAGTGGACACAGATGTCCGCTCTGCTATACTGATGTTTCATAGACCCGTCTCTTAAATCCACCCACAGATAGAGGAATGATGGAAATACAGTTTTGTCACTTACTCCACAAAACCCCTGTCAAACCATAGCATACATATAATAATGATATACGGCTGTGTTCTAAATTACCCATATCTAACAATAAATCACAAAGGTATTTTTATTTCTAAAAGTAGAGCCACTCTAGCCGTTGAGGTGCAGCTCTGTGTGTTCTGGGGGAGTTCAACAGTGTACAAGAGGGCAAATGCAATTATGGTTTCTGTGCAAATGTGCATAGCCCCAGCTGCTTTTGATTTGCTTTAAGGGCTGCTAGCTCATTTGTCAGCTCTCATGCATCAGAGACCTGGTGCTTGATGGAAAAACGTGCTTTGGCATGGAGCAGTGGAGAGACTCAGGGCCTAGTGGGTGTTAGTGGTTTTAAGCCACACTTCGAGATGACACCATGCCGTCCGCAGCTGGATTCTCATCATTACACTCTCCTATTTTCTGCTGTATACATGGCATGTACAGTCTCTCAAATGCAAGCACATGTATAGTAAGAATAAAAAAGAGATGGCTGCCTGGAAAGAAGCAGACATGATTACTCAAATACAGTCATTAAGGAGGAAATGTTGTTTTTCAGCCTGTCAGGATGATTAATGAGTGAGCGCAACTCTACTCAAAAGCTGTTGTTTAGTCTTTGCAGCAGACCTGATCTCTGCCACTGACTCAGAACAGACAGGAAGTGTGTGTGTTTTACTTGGGGTTTGCATTTGAGGGGGAAAAAAAGACTAAAAAGACATCTGGGAAGTTAAAGCATAGAATGGTACTGAAAATAAATGTACATTCAAATAAATAATAAAAATAGAATAATTTTAGTGCCTGTTTTAATCTTCAGTTTAGTTGCATGAAACATGACATTTACAAGATCAATTTTTGTGAGTGTGAACACTGTCAACAAAATTAGCACTCATTGTAAAAACCTCTAGCTCAAGCTCTGCCAAAATCTTCAGAAAGTCCAGATGTTCTCCAAATAGGCTGATAAGGAATTGGCTTTCAACATATGTGTAGTGCCTGGACTCGTGATTTACTTGCTGTGAATGATGAAACAGTGTTCCCCTGCCTTAAAGCCTGACTGGCTTTTATCATTATGCAAGCAGCTGCCTCAAGTCTGCTTGACGTCACCTCAAGTGGATGGGACTGACAAGGAGATAACACTGCATGTGTTCTTTTCATATTTGAAGGCAGCGAACAGTAAATGTGAATAGCAACACAGAGGTTTATACATACTTAGTTAAGTTCACTTCTAAAACTATTTTATTCAAATTTTTGTCCAATGAAAAGTAAACATTGATGTGAAGTGTGGAGCTGGCCAGGAGGTGGAGAGTCAGACAGCACACATGACTGACAGAAAGTGTGAGGGAGTGGGACAGATGAGAGCCACAGGCGCTGGGAGTGGGAGCGATCAGGGTCAGCAGCACATTGGCTGTGCTCTGAGTGTGGCCCAGCAGCTGTATGCAGAGGGAGCCCTGGCCTCATGCTCTGCATGTCACAGGCCATGATTAATGACCTGCTCGACCTGCTCTTTAGCCCCCACCATCCCACACAAGTCATTCTCCACTGCTCATCTACCTAATGGACACACACAAGAATAGTAGATTCACACAAATATGCAGGCACCTCTGACATGAAAGGAATAGCTTGAATAACAGAGATGGCTTGAACTCATTGTAGTTTCAGGACAAAAGTGATGATTTTGTAGACGCTATGTGCACTTGTGAACAGTATTGTGCTGTGTGGAAGCAGAAAGGGTGCCCGTGCCTGTACTGGTTCCCAGCTTGTCAGGCAGCTGTCGAGGAGTGATTTATGACCACTAGACTCCAACCTGTCTTCACTGCCAGTTCAGTATTGTTACAACTGACAGCTAATGAGGCCAGACATGCTTTCAAGCAGAGCACTTAACAGGACTTCAATCTTCCCCATCACTAGTACTATTTTTGCACTGTGTCTCCCCCTCCTTTTCATGCATATATATGCACACAAACCCCATTTTTCAACCCCCCCCCCCCACAGACCCCCATCCCCTTCTCTGTCTTCCTGTACTAAAATGTCGACTACATAAAAATAAAGCTATAAATGCAAATACAGAACCAACAGTAGAATGCACAGGCTGTACATGAGGACTTATTAAAACACAACACACACAATTGAATGATAAGTTATCCAATAGCCACACCAGGAAAGTTCTGGTTTTCTCCCTCATCACTCATACTATCAATATTAATATTAATATTAATATTAACAGTAATATTAATAGTAATATTAATAGTAATATTAATATTAACTTATACTTACATATTGCTGGTTTGCACTTGCCTGGGATCCTGACTGATTCTGTCTGTATTTTATGCAGAAGAGTGGAGAGTTCTGTTGTCTCCTGGGTCTGGCTTCTCAACCCTTCATTCAACAGTCTCCTGCAGTCCTGCAGACAGAAAAAAAAAGAAATATTTTTTTTTAAAAGTACAATGCTTTAGTTTATAGCTCATGTTTTTTGCAAATATTCAACAAAAATAATGCACATATATCTCTTCTTTCTCATTTGGAAATACATGGTGATACTATCATGTCCTTTATACTGTAAGTTATTAGTGAGGGAAAACATGAAAACTTCCTATGGGTATGCGTCCATTTTTTTCCTTCTCTAATAAGACAAAAGTTAATGCCAAACAGGGCAAGAGAAATAAAATAATAATAAATGTAATACTCTGTTCTATTAGGCCTTATATTTTATTAAAATATAATGCTACTTGTTGTAAAAGTATACCAAATATTCAGAATACAGTAGTGTGACTGGCCAATGTAACGGAATCATGAAAGTATTATTACAAAATTAATTTTCTATCAGGAATTCTTCACGACACTCTTTTCAGTTAGCCTATCCCTCTGCCGCCCTCTACTGGAATTTACCATCACTTACAACAAACGTGCCATTATTTTAAATCCCATCACACCAACACGGACTACATCATGACATTGCCTGTACAAAGTTAGAGTCTTTCAACATTATGGTCTACATTAGGCTACATTATTACAGGCCTAAATTACCTACCTCTAGCCAACTCCCGCTGTGTCTCCTCCTCTCCACAGTTTTTCCACTTCTCCTCCCTCCCCTTTCCCGGCTCCTCCTCTGTTTCTTCGGTCATCGAGCGACCTGGCCAACTTTTTCCGTAGTTGGTTTTCCTTAAACTTCTCCATTTTATGTGGGGTAATAACAAAAGAGACACGCAAATGGGCACTGCAACACGTATAAAATGTGAAGCAAAGTACTAATGGCCGACCAACCGGACCGACCCGTGACCCCGTTATCTTGCCCGGAGCAACTTCCTTTCAAAGACTCCCGAGGGAACCGGCGGCCCACGTAGGTCTTCCATCGGAAAGGAGCACCGCTATGCTGTTAAAACAGAATAGACTTTGGTTTGTTATAGCCACAGAGATGGTCTCCTGGCGTAAGATGGATGCACAGAGTAGGCTACATGGCAAACAATTTATGATTTACGTAGTAAAGATACTAACTCTGGGACTGGTGTTTAGTTGTTTTTTTTTCCTTTACAACCTTCATGACCTACTGTCTGCAGGTGCGAGGTGGAGAATGGCGGTGAGAGGAGACCGCGGAGGAGAGGGCAATGTGAAACAAACCTCCAGATCCTGTTGGACATAGGTCCAGTATCTTCAGACAGCAAGAAAAAAAATCCTGTGATGAGGTAGATTATTATGCTTTATTCCTTTTTTGTCTTTATGTTATTTTTCTACATGTATAAATGAGCTGTTTTTTGTTGTTTACCAGATTTATTTATTTATTTTATTTTATTTTTATTATTTTTTTTGCAATTTAGTCAGCAAGTAAGTCACAGTATACACGCCCTATTTCTTTTTTCCCCCACACATAAAATCAATGTAAATGTAAAAAGTAGATAAAAAAAAAATTAAAATAAATAATAATAATGATAATAATAAGTAGGTTTACCTGATGAATATTATGCACCATTTTGCCCAGTATGCAGTACCTGCATATTCTGTGTTTACATATGCTTGTTGCTGTGCAAGCAGTGTTCAGTGCTTCATAATGGCTATATGTTTTTCATTTAGTCTGGCTTCTGAAATGGTTTATTATAACACATTTTACTGTCTTCTGTCTATTTTGCTGTGCACATAAAAATCTCTTTGTCTCCTCTCCTCATCTTACCTCCATGTGTTACAATGTTACTACTAAGTAACTTAGTAGCTTACTACCTTTTCCTTTTAGATCGAAACCAGTGGAGCCACATTTGCCCATGCTCAGTGCAGTGGACGATGAAATAAAGTTTGACAGAAAAAAATCTCAACCCAGCCAGGTAAATATACCAAGTGACCTCAGATATATCACAGATATATCACACAAAAAAAAATCAAAATTAAACAAATTTTTTCCTGCAGCTTTCAAAGACAAATGCACAGTACCATAAGTTATTTAAAGAAGTAAGCAAAGATGAACCACTCAGGCAAAGTAAGTGTTATTTATTAAAATGCATAGAGGAAAATGTTTTTGCCCATGTCTGTTGTGTTTTGGTCATAGGTTATACATGTGCTCTTCAAAGAGATATTTTATACCAAGGAAAAATGTTTGTCTCTGACAACTGGATCTGTTTTCACTCCAAAGTTTTTGGCAGAGATACTAAGGTTAGAAATATCTATTTGTTTCCATTTCAAAGTGCTTTATTACATTATTGTATGGAGTTAATTCACTATATATTTAAATCCATCACTAGATTGCTATCCCTGTTTTATCTGTCACATTTCTCAAGAAAACAAAGACCGCTCTACTAGTGCCCAATGCCCTTGTGATAGAAACTGCACATGAACAGGTAACAGGTCACAGGGACAAATCACAGCAGGTTAGCTTTCACGTGCCACAGTCACCAATATTGACTTTGTCTTTACAGCATGTCTTTGTGTCTTTCTTGTCACGTAACACAACATTTAAACTCCTGAAGTCCATATGCAACCATCTGGAGGTGAATGCCAACACTGTATTTGTCCTATAAGTTACATTTGTTTATTCTGTATTATTTGTTTTAACATGGTTTGTGTTCCACTTTTGTTCAACTCTGCAGGTGGACAAGGTGTGTTGCAGCCCAGTTATTTCCTGCCCCTCACCTCTTCCTCTGGTTAGTCTGGGGTTTATCCTATTCTTTAGATGTTTTCTTACAAAACATTCTCTTGTACGATCAAAGTATATTTATTATTGTGTGCATCCCTGTGTTTGTGTTGCAGGATTTTTCGGGAGACTTATCAGACTTGGATGGAGTTGTGCAGCAGCGGCGTCAGGAAATGATGGAGAGTAGCAGCTCTGGATCACAGACTCCGGACTCTGATAAAATGACTGGTGTGTTTTTAATCCTATTGTACAGATTAGAGCCATGCTACTATTGTGAATGTCAATATCACGTTTCACAGGTGCTGGAATAGTCACTATTGTTGATGGCTGGCTCTCGGCCACATGAATTGAAACCTGAGCCTGCCCTATTGTCATTGCAAAAAAGTGAAATAAATGATCAAACTAGAAACTTCCACATAGTTCTTGTTCATTAATTTATTTTCTTTCTCCAATTAAATGGCTTTTCAGAATTTCCTGTTCTTCAAGACTCTTTCTTAAGTGCAGTGAAGAGTGGTGACGTCTCAGTTCATGCAGATATTCACCTTCAATCTCAAAGCCAAAAACATGGAGCTACATTAAAAAACAGTAAGTGTGACAATACCTTTATAGCTAATGTTTTTGCAGTTATTCAACATGAAACAAAATTCTACCTATATACCCTAGTTATTATTGTTGTTTTAAAAAATTGGTGGTTAGACTAAACCAAAAATGTGTAGCAATTTTTATTGGTTTATTTTTAAGATTTATGTAAAGCTGCACTATGAAACTTCTCTGGTGGAGGGATTGCCACCTGTTTTTCTCCAGGGAGATGTTCTGGCTTTGCCTGAAATGCTCTACCGGAGTATAGCATTAAACTGGTCCACCTTCATGGAAAGCTGGTGACTCCACCTGGCCAAGTTAGACATCAGATCTGTGGGGATGCAAGCCTTCACACTGTATGCTTTTAATGCATTTTTAAGCAATAACATTTTAAAAGTATTATAGTTAAGTTCAATGTCATACTCTGGAACATTCTAGACAAGCATGATTTCCATGGAGAAAAGCAGGTGACAGATCCTCCACTGGAAGTTACATAGTGTAATAGTGTTTAAACTATGTAGTAATATTTTCTTCCACTCTCCAGTCCTTCAAATATTAAATTACTTTTTGTACATTGTTCTGCTTAATCATTGTAGGTTCTCCCAAGACAGGACGGCCCATGCCCCATAACTCGAAATTCTCTCAGCATGTGCCATTAAATGCCATTCTTTTCATGTATTTATTTTTGTGAGTACGTTTTGATTCTGTACAGTTTGAATCTGAACATATATTCCTGTAATGTAATGTTCCTGTAAGCTCTTTGTGTAAAGACTGATTACAATGGTCTCATGTTTCTTAACAGAGTAAGTGTCCTTGTCCTCTCATCCTGTTACATGGCATTTAAGATTGTGGCTCTTGAGCATCGCTTGAATTCCTTGTTGTCAGTGGGAGAGCGTATTCCGTAAGTTCATTGTACCAATTGTAATAATCACATGTTTTATTTTGTTTCATGGAATAATTTTAAGAATAATTCTTCTTAAGCCACAAACCACAGGATGACATGAGTGCTGAAATATATGGGGAGCTTTCTACAAATTTGTTCAAGTTAGAAAAGGTTTGTATTTCTGATTGTATATATATATCTATCCTTCTGTGTGTGTGTGTGTGTGTGTGTGTGTGTGTGTGTATGTCTTTATTTCTTTCCTTGTGTCGCAGGTGGTATTTTGCATAAAGAAATGATTTTCAAATTACTGGTGGGTGTGGTGAATTGATGAAGGGCAGGCAGCTTCCACATTGTTAATGACTTGTTAATGACTATATATATATATATATATATATATATATATATATATATATATATATATATATATATATATATATATATATATATATATATATATATATATATATATATATGATCCTTAGTTGTTATTGTATTAATCTAATTTATTTATTGTTAACTTTACTTTTATTGCGTTAGTGGTCAGTGAGGGTTGATATTGGTATGTACCTGTGCAGGTGTTGTCTCATGTTTTTTTTTTTTTTCCAAAGATTCAAAGAAACCTCCAGAAGCTGCTTGATGAAACATGACACTTCACTGTGTAGACTGCAGACTACTGTTTAAGATTTTTATTGTCTTTTTAGACATAATTAGGATGACAGCCTTTTAAACTACAGTCAGTTGTAAATGTGCAAGATAAGGATTTCCCGTCATTCCCTAAAAACTTGCTGGTCTCCAAAAGAGGTTTGTTGTGCGATTGTTTTAACATTGATATTCTAACATATGTGAACATTTTATAATGTACAGTTGAAAATCTGTTTCTAATGCTTAAAAGGTCAATATACAGTTTTTTGTTTTTTTTTACAACAACCGATAATGAATAAATTATATTTATATCCTGACATTTGTGTTTTGACTTTTTTTTATTATTGGTGCAAGTAGTTTAGTCTTTTATGCATTAATGCATTAGCATTGTTTAAAACCAGATTTCCTTTCCCAGTATTTTGAATTATGTGCTTGTGGAGCTATAAAGTGACCATGGTGAAAGCAAGGCAATGACACTTTCAGTAAAAAATGGATGACATCTCTGTTGCATCTTGTATCTTCATTTTGTTTGTGTCACAACATAAGCAAGTTGTAATTAATTCATTGGTTCTACTAATAGATTTTGTCCAAAAAGGCTAGTAAGCATCTCAAAGACATGCAGACCACATCATCAACAAAGCTAAAGCACCTTCCATTTCTAATTGTTCAAGCATTGAAGCTTTTTTCAAAAATTAAATCTCTAAATGCTCAGCCTATTATATACAGTCATATGCAAATACATAACATAAATCTTAAGATTAAGAAAATGAAATGATAAAGCTATTTTTATATTTTCCACAGAGGCTTGTTTTGTTTTGCCACAAAGCTCCGCCCACTCTTGAATTTTCGACCAATAGCAGGCTCGGCTCCACACCTTGTCTGCCTCTCAACCAGTGCTGAACCCATTGCATGACGTAAGAGCCAATCTGAAAGTGCAATGGCGATATTTGACAGTAACAGTCGACGCTTTGTGAAATCACACCTCTATTATGTGGCTAATGCTGAAGAAAATACATCACATCTGCTGCAAAACCAGAGTTAATACCTGCACCTTGCGCGAACGTCACTTCGGGTGGGAAAGTGGTTGTACAGCCTGTGCATATGATGACAGTTTAGACTAAACGCAGGTAAGTGCAAACTCCGCCAATTGCAATAGCATTTTCATACCTGTTTGTGTCCTGTACCTTAGTATTTTCATGCATCAGGGCTCTGTATGGAAAGGGGCGTGGCGGAGAGCTGGTTATCACTTGTGACTGCTGGGCACGGATAGCTTAGCAACAGCGGCGAAGAGAAGCAGGCAGCGCACAGACAATGAGCGTGTCATTTGTCAGCGTTTCTCTCAGTGGCCAGGCGCACTGTGCGCTGTCTGGACAGAGGGAGAGGCGGTTTGCGATTAGCTGTTGGTGCCAAATCAACTATAAGGAGGCATGAATGTGCCATGCAAGTGTAAACAAGGGGTATGGGCCTATTCAACTGTGGCCTAGGATGCTCTGAGCTGCATTTACCAAGATGCTAAGAGCAGAGATTGCACTGTTGCTAGAGACAGGACTGCATTGCTTCCAAGCGAGCATGTTTACACGAATAACTTGAATGTCTTGGGTCTGTTATAATTGTTTTCTAAAGAAATAACATAACATTATACATATGTCATACAAATGGACCCACAGTGTTTAAACCATGTGTAACGCTTCTGCAGAAGTTTGTTGAATGTAGAAGCAGAAATGCCTGTTGTCTAAGTGTCCCTCGTAAACAGACAGGATGGCCACACAAGAACCGTCCCCTCCCTCTTCCATGGAGAGCAATAAACCTGGGTTCCCCAAAAAAATACTGGGCAACAAACTGGAGGACAAGCATCTGTGCAACTGCTGCCACAACATCCTCAGACGACCTGTTCAGGCCCAGTGTGGACACCGCTTCTGTTCCTATTGCTTCAGCAGGACAGTCAGGTGGGGGAGCGAAACATTTCCCACTGTAATTTTTCAACTACCCTGAATAAACTGATCTATTATTATGTTTATAGCAATGGGCCACAGAAATGCAATGCATGTATCAAAGAAGATATATTTGAAGAGTCTACATCAATTCTGAAACAAGGATGTGTGAGTATCATGTATGTGAATAAAATAAACCACATACAAAATGACTTATGACCACCTTGATGCTGTTTGTGTCGTGAATTTAAAATTGCAAATGTATATGGTCATTAATACTGTATACTTTATGCCATCTTCTGTTTTTTAGGCTTTTCCAGACAATGCTGTTCGGAGAGAAGTTGAAAGCCTATCCGCAGTTTGTGTCAATGACAACTGTACTTGGAAAGGCAGTATCAAAGAATATGAAGTAACAACTTGATTCAACTGATTTGCTCCTGTTCAGTGTGCTTGTATTGACAATAGATGATCTGAAATCTTTTTCCAGCTGACCCATGAAGGAAAGTGTGAGTACATGGTCATCCCCTGCCCCTCATGTAAAGAACGAATACGCTTCAATGAACAAGAGCGGCATAATGAACGTGAATGCCCAGAGAGGACACTCAACTGCAAGTACTGCAAGGAACCATTTCACTTTAAAAATATCAAGGTTAGAAATTATTTATTTGAATTTTCTTGAGGGCTTTCTACTCCAGGCCACTAATATTCACTAGAGTAGCTTTCACTCTGACATTACTGAAACACACTTCTTATTATCATAGGCCCATGATGAGATCTGTCCCAAGTATCCAATGATCTGTGAAGGCTGTGCCAAAAAGAAAATACCTAGAGAAAAGGTATATGTAATTTATTTCTACAGTTAAGAACTTCTTTTTATCCCTGATCGTTTTCAAAGTAATGAGAGCTCTTGTTTTTTCTAGTATGTGGACCATATTAAGTTTTGCAGCAAATTCCGAACTCCCTGTCGATTTCATGTGGTGGGATGTGATATGTCTGTAAGTTGTGAAGTTGCTTTTCTCAATAATTGTGATGACCAGAATGCTTTAACAAATGTCTTTGTTGTTCTTCAGGTAGAGAAAGAAAAGATCCATGACCATGAGCGTGCCTATGCCTATGAGCATCTCAATCTCCTTCTTCACTACATCATGGGTATGAAAGTCAGCATGGAGGGCTTACAGCCTCAGGGTCTGGAGGTAGCTGGGCACAAATTGGTGGAGCTCCAGCAGTCCCTGAAGGAGCTTGAGGCCAGAGTGTCCCAACTTAGTATCACCACTGTTCCTCCCGTGCAGGGAGCGACTGCCTCCTCCTCATTGTCCACCTCTGGCCCCTCTGGACCAGCTGCCTCTGCCCCTCTACCCCCTCCCCCAACTCTGGCTCCTACACTATCTGTGTCCACATCCTTTACCCCCTTGCCCAGCTCAGTCGGGGCAGCCCTGGAGCTCCAGCTCCACAATGAGAAGACCAAAGTGGCCGAACTGGGACGGAGATGCACTGAACTGGAAGTCAAGTCTGGTACTTTTGAAAATGTGGTCTGCGTTCTGAACCGAGAGGTTGAGAGATTTGCAACTACACTGGAAGCTAGCAATCGACAACATAAATTAGACCAAGATAAAATTGAAGCTCTCAGTAATAAGGTACATTTTAAGCTGATCTAAAATGCACAGTTCAAAATAATATAAAATACATTTTACTCTAATCAATACAGGTGCGACAGCTAGAGCGAACTGTGGGACTCAAGGATCTGACTGTGGCTGAGATGGAGGGCAGATTACGAGAGATGTCTGCCACTACGTTTGATGGTGTGTTTATCTGGAGAATTTCTGATTTTGCAAAAAAGAGACAAGATGCAATTGCTGGACGAGCCCCCGCCATGTTCTCACCAGGTAATCCTAACATTTAGAAGTTGTAAAATTTGTACAAATGTATAACATAATGCATGCAGTTTAACTTGTTTTTTAACTTTTTCCAAGCTTTTTACACAAGTAAGTATGGCTATAAGATGTGTCTGCGGATTTATCTGAATGGAGATGGAACAGGACGTGGCAGCCACTTGTCCCTGTTCTTTGTTGTGATGAGGGGACTGAGCGATGCTCTGCTCAAATGGCCTTTCAATCAGAAGGTACAAAATTGTAACATGTGGTTTGCATTGTACAAGAATCAACTTACATCTTTGTTTTTATTGGACCGCCAGGTGACACTGATGCTGCTGGATCAGAGCAACAGAGAGCACATTATAGATGCTTTTCGGCCTGATGTCACTTCTTCTTCCTTCCAGAGGCCCGTGAGTGAAATGAACATTGCCAGTGGATGTCCACTCTTCTGTCCTCTCTCCAAACTTGATGCCAAGAACTCGTATATTCGTGACGACACTATCTTCATCAAGGCAATCGTAGACCTAACAGGCCTCTAGGTGAAGCTTCATTGTGCCGCCTGCACTTGAGCAGCTCTCTAACCAGTAATGCTTTATTTTGGTTCAATCATAAACCAGTATTAAGGTTACAAACATACTTGCTAGTGTGTGTTGCAACTTGTTCCATTCTGATGGTTTTACATAGAGACATTTTAAAATGACTGTCATTGCTGTACATCTCTGGTGTAAAGTAGAGATGTCTCTTATCACCATCAGCTGCACTAGATTCTATAAAATCTGTATCAGCATCAGCCATGACAAAAGGTCAGTTGGTCAGTCTCTAGTGCAAAGTTTGTCTTGTCTTTTGGCATTGATGGTGCATCCATTAGGTGTAACATGTCACATTTTTTGGCACAAAAGCAAGTTCTGTGGCAATGAGGAGTATAGCTGTAAATCAGTGTAAAGGAACGTGTGCAGTTTGAGTAGATATTGTTCTGGATTGTAGTTTATACTAATGCCAACTTGTTGTAGAGTGTGGCTTTAAAAATTAGCTTTATTTTCAAATTGTGTATATGTCATGTATTTTTTAGTTCCCTTGTTGGAATTTGCATACACAAACGTGGAGTTATGTTTTAAGAAGAATTGGCATTTTTGCAGAAAATGCATGATGCTTGTACTTTATGAATGAAATATTTTTTTTTGCGTTGAGTCATCTTTATGAAGGTTCCTTTATGGTTGACTTGTGAATTAGCCATCTGTGATGGTGGACATTGCCTGCATATCTTTCAACCCAGGCTTTTACATGTAAAGTTAGTGTTGAGTATTTGTTTCCATTTAGGGGTTGGTGGTTCTGATTGGTGGTTTGGTACATCTGTGGAAGATAACAGTGGAGTTACCAAGGAGTCAGGGCAGCTTGCCAGCCAAGCCTGAGGCATTCAAGCTTCATGTGTTTTTGTCTCTGACAAACATGCATAGCTTACGTTTTCCTGGGATATGCTCACTAGCTCACATCTCAAACACATATGTGTGCCCCACCAGACTGAGATTACTACAGATTCCACAAAGTGAAGGAATAGTTTCATCTTTATTTTCAGTCCATACTGTAAAAGCTTAAACATGAAGTGTCTCAGTCACAAGAGAAAACTTGTGTGAAGGTATAATATGTGTCAATTAAATTATACATGAAGTATGTTTGTTGAGGTTGAAATGGTTACATAGTTTTTAAATACTTTAGATTGTAAGTTATTAATGTTAAGGAAAGGCCATTGTTGGTGTTTTAAATCACAGACATATGTGAAACTATAAAGTGTTTTTGCTTAACTACTGCTCTAAGTGTTTTCACACCAAAATAATCAAATGGATAGAATTTTGCTTTTTATATCTTGTTACAATATATATATATTTTTTAAATTCCTGCCATTTCTCTATTTGCCCACCAGAGATCGCTGTTGTTCTGCAGCCTGCATGCTGATGTACAGTTCTTACTGGCCTGTTTGAAAACCAGTCTCGACCTGTATTGAACTCTCTCTGTGCATGGGAGGCTTCAATTCACAATTCACTAGAGTTTCACATTGGTTTACCTTGTGAGCCAGGTGTGAAAGCATTTACATCTATTTCTTTGAATAAAAATACATAATTATAGAATAGTTATTGTGTTATATCTGGCTGGGTAACTGTTATACAGTTTGCCAGCCTATATTTATAGAAACCTATAATAATGTATCTCTCATATAATAATGTCCAAACAATCTATATATCAATGTTAATATACACAAAATGTTATAATAAGCATAGTATTACTAAATACCTTATTAATCTATATCTATATACCAGTGTTTTGTTTGTCAAGATGGTTGGAACAGGCCAGCACAACACTTTTACAAAGCAAGTTTGTGTAAATGCGGAATGAGTGCAATATGTTATTAGTATTATAACAGTTTTGATGACCAGTTTGTTTTTTTTCTCAACATTATTGTGCATAAACAGAAAATGTGCTGCATTTGTGCATTAATATAACTACCATCAGAAACAAAATATTTCCAAGCTAAGAACTTTTGCAATTTGGAAATGTGATGATTTTTTTGTTTTGTTTTGTTTATTGTAATACAGGGTTTATGTTAACGAACAGCAAGTTGCTGTTTTTTCAAAAAAATAGAACTTCTGTGTAACAATTGAGCTTAGTATTCTGTGTGATTGAACTTTGTAATGTTATGTGCCAAATATCTTTATATAATATTTTAGACCGTGTGCATGTCCTTCTGTGTTGCACTGAGTTGCTGCTACTGTAAGCTCTGAGGGGGAAATTGGGGGGCTTTTAAATGGAGACCAAGGTTTTTGAATGTATATTATTAACATTTTTACTAAAGCTCTGTTGTGTTGTGTCGATAACTTGAATAACAGTTTATTTGTGCACTTTCAGTTGTGTGTACAAACAGGGTATTTTGAGTAATCATTTTGGATGACCATGTACCTTGAAATTAGAGCCATATATTCTTATGTTGATATTTGATGTATTATAAAGTACATGCAGTGCGAGTAATAAATGTAATATTGAACGTTGTATTTGGCCATTTCTGATCAATAGAGGACACTTGTTATTTCTCATTCTAACATGTATGTTGGAAGTAAGTCCATTTCTGAAAGTGTCTTTTTTTTAATGTGTAAATGCTTCTAGGATTATTGCTGGGTTTAGTTTGAACTGAGAGTGATGTTAGTCAGACATTTTAGGAAAAATAGGCTGAAACACAAAGTTAAACTATTATGTAGTCAAGTTGTCAATATGTCTGAAGATATGGCTTTTCAGGCCACACTGAAGTAGGCTTATTGCAGATACTTTAAATTCACAGTCTTTATATTTTTTTCTTTGTTTCAACTTACAAGGAAACGTGTTGACAGGGGGAATCAGGTTGAATATTTGACCAATTCAACCCCTCTGTAGAAAAGAGGTCATTCCCTGTAGTCATGTCAATACATAATTAAAAACAGGATGCAGACACTCAGTAATAGCCATGACCCACTACCACAGACTTCATAGGAAGAAATATGTCACATCTCCCCCTGTGAGAAACATACATCTTTTATTTTTTTCTTCACTTACATTCCTTTATGATAATTATTACAAACTTCATGGGAATTCAGCTCTCTATTTCCAACCAAAGCCAACACAGAACGACTAAAAGACTTGTCCAGATCTGCAAAGTGTTAGAAAGCAGATCAACAGGACACTCTGGACCTGTTCCAAGTTAGTCAGTTAAACACTGGCTATATTCCGATGAAAACTTTAAAGGGCAGCCTCTCACACAGATCAAAGTAGCTTGAAAGGATCAGTTTCAGTTGACCTATGACCCTTCAACAAATCATTCAATATTTATGACAATCAAATTTAAAGCCACATAGATTGATCTAATGTACCAAGAAACACACAATATGTTCAGAAGAGTATGTTATATTATTATTTAAAATAACATTTTGTTACATTGCTTTAGTCCATTTGAAAAATCTGCTCTAATCTCTAGTCTGGATATACTAACCTCTTTTGTTCTGCTCAAAGCTTATTAGCACTATTGATTTTAGCTCATTTATTTTACAGGCTTCCTGCAGTGGAGCCAGATGACCCATCTACATATCAACTACACTATTGTACTGGAGCACAGGATGCCTTTTTGTAAGAGACGGATCGATTTGTTCCCTATTCTTCTCAAAATATACTTAGTGCTTGATGAATACAGTGTAATGGATTTTTCCTTTCTTTATATTTTCTTTCTTCCTTTCATTTGTATGAGTTTCTAACAAGGTAAGTGGGGCTAAGCTTTAATACGTTTATGTCTGAAATACTGTCTGCTAATGTACAGTACATCTTGTAAATTTTCTTCAAATGTTTTGAACCTGATCAATCCATAGTATGTTATTTTCTTGTATGCTATAAGTGATATTAACAAAGACAGTTCAATACAAAAAATGGACAAGTGGATGAAATGATAGTGGTGTTTTTTTGGACGCCACCTTACTGTGATGTCAACAAACTTAAGATTTTTCATCTGATTGGTTGACATAAAATGTGCAGACAAATTTGGTTGACCTCACCAGAATTTCCACAATCCTAAACTCAACCCACATAAATCAGAGCAGGACTTGAGCACAGCTGCACTGTGTGGAAGGAGAAATGCCCAAAGCTCATGAGTTTCTCAGCTGAGCTCCAAGCAGCTGTCACAATTTTGTCACAAATATTTTTGAGTAATATGATCATTTCCAAATCAACTGCTCAGTTTCATCCATAGTTTTGTAGCTGTTGCTGAGGTTTGCAGTCATTCTCAATGAAGTTTTAGGAAAGATATTTATTGATTCAAGAAGTTATTTCCCAGAAAAAAGGTATGAGACACTTACGCTTGGAGAAGGAGATGGCAGACAAAAATGCAGATAGCACGAAAATACATCATAGAACTGTATAAAATGAAAAATTGGGTATTGACCATTAAAACTGCATGGATAGGACACAGCAATAAAGTATTTTATCACTCCAATTATTGTGTCCAAAACATACTTTATTATAATAGCACAGTTGACAAATTCTTTACAGAAAATGTTTTAGAGGAGATACACTTTTCAGTGACATTAATCATTAACCTGCATTACATTAATGCAAGTAAATACTCATTCGCGAAAACAGTCATCTAATCATTCGATGAATGCTCTTCTGTGCGTCCAAAAGGCCTGTCATGATAACACAATTTGAAGCACGATAAATTGCTACAAAGGCATATCACGATAAAAACAATAATATTGAAACTATTTTTTGCCACTGACATAATAAAAAATAAAGCAGGATAATCCCAGTAAAGCGTTTTTAAATACAGTATCATTAAAAATCATGAGCTATAACAAATAAATAATAGAATGAACATATACTGAACACTGAGGAATTATCATGAAAGGTCTAGCGTCCAACTGTTGCCTGCACAGAAGATGTGTTCATTATTTGTGGATTTTCACTTTGAGTAGTTGTGTTTAAGATTTACAGTATTACTGTCCTCCATCTTTGTCTGAGTCTGTTAGTTTTCTAATAGTTTTCATCAGACTGAAAACCATTAAATCAAACCCACAGACCACGTCACTCACCACGTTTTCAATGTGTGTTTTCCCCTTTACTCTCTGCCAACACACATATATGCAATTCAACTTTTAATAGAATGGAAATGAATGCAAATGTTAACTTTAAATCTTGTGTTTGCTCTGTTCACAAAATGACCAATAACCCTGTCATTTGAGCTGGCGGATCGGAGTTTTACAGTGGTGAGAACAATTACTTCATGCTTCCACTCATTTTCCATGTGTGCCGACCACAGAGTTCCTGCAGCTGTATAACACAGAGGAGCTGCTAACAAATGGCAGACCAGTCTTTCTTGTGAAGGAGCCACTGTGGGAAGTATCAGCGCTGTGGAATGAGACAGATCCAGCGAGCATGGCAAGACTGAACTGAGATGGCCCTATGACTCTACTTTGGAAGTAACCAACCTTCAGCTTGGTAAATAAACACTCTTAATCATATTTCTTACCTGTGTGAGTTTTGGTCATGGCTGATCATTTGAAACTGTCCATGAAATGAACACTGGTTGAATGCCATGCAAAAGATCCTTTTGCCACAACCATCTTCCAAACCAGGCATGGAACCTGAGAAGAATTCCATTGGCATCAATGTGATAAACAGAGAGAGGATTACAGAGCACTGCCACAAACAGAATTACAGCCTTTTGACTTCATTTAAGACACTGTAATCTCACTCTTCATACACTGCAGCACAAAATACTACCATAATTGGAATGTAATATTTTTATTGTCTTGTTAATTTTGTGAGATGTTGATTGTAGTATAGTTGGAGTTTGTCTGTATTCATAAAGCAAATCTCTTTGTTAGATCTCATGAACTGTCTCTCCAAGGCTGGGAAATATGGAAATAAAAAACAAGAACAAGACTATATATATCAGCTGGCTGATATTTTTTACATTTTAGTTTATTGGCTATCAGTTTGTATTTTGTATGATTTTGTATTAAATTCAAATTAGATTATTTGGGGAAAATGACCACCAAAATCCAGCCTACATATCACCCTAAAAACACCAGCAGAGATCATTGGCCACTGGCTGCTCTGGATTCTAAGTAATCAGCATCCACCATGGAAAAATGCATATCAGTCAATCTCTAATCAAGACCTCATATCTTTGACCATATATATTTTAGTGATACCTTTGTGATGCAGTTCTTTTAATACAGTTCTATGCTTAAACACAAATACACTCCTTTATTGGCTAGTTTCTGTCAGGCTCTGGGTGATAGGTTGATTTAAACAATTACAGTGAATTGTGAAGAGGAAGAAGGTAATGTGCATGAATCCCAATGAAATCAAAAAAGAGGGTGATCTGGCTCTGAGAAAAGCAAGATATTGATTGAATCTCTACTGCAGTTTAAAAAATCTTATATTAACAATAACATTGTAAGCATCCACTGTGAGTCTTCAACCCATTAGTCTGGATGCTGCCAAGGCACTTATTGTCTTCAGTACCATATTTGCTCATGTTTGTGTAAGTAGTGACATCTCTGCTCTCCCTATTGTCTGAACATGGCTTGAAAGCAGCACAACCTAATGATTTATACTAGGCAATAACTCTACAAATTTTCCATATACAGTGTTGGGGAGTAATGGATTACATGTAACTGGGATTACGTAATCAGAGTACAATTTATGAGTAACTGTATTCAGTTACAGTTACTGTTTCAGTGAGTGGTAATTGGATTACAGTTACTTTGTTAAAATAAATGGATTACACAGCGGTATTTTCCTGTTTTCACATTTTGGGCTAAACCAGGACTAAACCAGGATTAAACCAGGACTAAACCAGGAATAAACCAGGACTAAACCCAGGACTAAACCCAGGACTACACCAGGACTAAACCAGGACTACACCAGGTCTAAACCAGGACTGAACCAGGTCTAAAAGCAGGACTAAACCTGGTCTAGGCAATATGACACCTAACAGTAGGGTGGACATAATTTAAGGCAGCAGTGATTTCATATAGAAATCACTTCTCTATCAATAATATTTTTTAAAATGCTTAAGTAAAGACAGGGCTTTTTATTTTCTTTTAGCAGACAAAACAAATATCTCATGTTAAGATTTCCTGGTCTTTACTTCTCTATAGTAAACAGTTGTCTATTCATGGAGACTTGGGCTCAACAGATGTGGTTGTTACATTCATGTTGTTTTCAAAAGCATAACAATATCAAGTAATCCAAAGTATTCAGATTACGTTACTCACTTTAAGTAATTTAATGGATTACGTTACAAACTACATTTTGGGGTATGTAATCTGTAATCTGTAGGGGAATACATTTTAAAAGTAACCTTCCCAACACTGTCCATATATTAACTATACATAAATTGTCCATAAAAGTCTAATTGACCATTGTATGTATGTTACATTACCATAGAAGTAGCCTTTTGTATTGTAGTGTTTATACTGACTGATACT